TTTTTCTCTGATTATAGCAATATAAATCCCAGCTGTCTTCATAATGAAAATTGAAAATCTTATTTTTTTCATTAAAATATTTTTCAAAGCATCCAGGAATGCTTTAAAATTTTAAAGACACTTGCCTTTAGAAGCTAAAAATTCAGTGACGATTTGATCCTGGCATGCAATGCTTACCTGAGGAAGAGATCTGTGACGATATTTGACTCTTAACAGAAAATGACATAGTTGAAAGCTGGAGTTAGAGAAATTCAGACTCAAAATGACAAGCAAGTCATCAAATGGTGACTTTCCTAAATGTTTAGGAGTATTTACTGTTTTATCAATGCTATTTTGAATCACTAAGAGTAGAAGGGCACAACATAGGACTGCTATAGCTTAAAACAATGCTTCAGAGTGCAGAGCCTATCAGATTGTGTTGTATACTGTGTAAAATATAAGAGGCTTAATGAGATGGTTTGCATGTTCCTCTAATTTTAAAATTTCTGATTCTATGCAAGATGGCCAGATTGTCAGCCCTGAAGCATGAAAGTCCCTTTATCTGCACAGCAGGTATCACATGATAAGCACCAGTGCAAACATCCTCCCTGATAAGCCTGAGTCCTTCCTGTAGGGCCCTGTTCTATGGAAAAGAAGATGATTTCTTGAGAGGTGGCCATTTGGCAGGGGGATTAAAAGGTGGAAGGACAGCTAACAAAATCAGAGATAGTTGTTATTCATAAAAGGAAATAATTTTACTAGGATTTAGACAGAGGACTAATTCATATAGCCACTAATAGTCAACAGATGGTAATTACTACTGGATACTAAAAGCTAGGTCAGATTTGAACCCAATGACCCAGAACTAAAATGCTCCATATGCCATCACTGTGCCGTCTGGTATGCTCACTAGTCATGACCCTCCCACCCACTCAAATAGGGCCTTTCCCCGCAAGCAGAAAGCTTTAATATTCTCAGTAAGATCAAACAAACAGCCTTGACATTTGTGCTCTGCCGTTGGTTTTAGCTCTTGCTACATGCTGTTTATCACACTTTCATTTTAACCTTGGGGCGACAAAGGAAAACAAGACAAGACGCTTTGTGGAGGAAAAAAAAAAAAAAAAAAGGCATGGAAACAGTAAAGACTCTCTTAGAACAGAAGTTCTCCCCCCATCCCAGTCACTCATAAATTAAAAGTTAAGGCTTATAGCTATTTTTTTTTTTTCCTCCTCCCTCACAGTGGCCTTTGAGGTCTTTTCCAAGCCCTGAGGTGTTAACCAATTGCTAGGTGATATCAATCTATTTGGGTGGTTCTTATAATTACAAGTGGTTTGGTTAGTTTAGGCTGCAGCCGTTTGGGTTTAATTAATTAAGTAAAATCTAATAAAAATCTAGCTGGATGGTGTTCATTAGCCACATAGTGACCAGCAAATACAGCTTGCTGTGTCTTGAAAAAAATCTGAGGATTTCTTACAATTAAGATATGAGGTCATTTCTGTCCTCTTCATCACTATGTCATCCTGCATTTTTTACACATACTTGCATACATACAAATCCACAGCATTTTCATATATTAATTTTATATAGATTAAGAGTTTGATTGGAGAAGTTACTGAGAACTTCTTTGGGTCATAATTTGCAGGAAGGGAAGTTTGCCGAGTGTAGGAGGTGAGCCGTGTCTCAGCTGCTCTTTAGTTTCCTGACTGACAGAAGACAATGTCTGCTGTCTAATGTCACACGACATGGTTGTCAGAAGTCCTGGCCTAGGCTGAACAGTCACTCTTGATTATGCTGCTGTATCAAAGCCATAAATTTATTACAGCCTGTTTTGTGTCAAACTTCTCTGGAAACTGCTCTGAACTGTTGTCATATTTATGATAAGCCATATGTAAGATTAAGAATTTCCTTGGTCAGAAACCACTCGTCTTTTACTTTGCCTGCAGATACAGGACTTACTTGGAATCAGATTTGCTGAATGTTAACTTTCTGTCAAATACATATTGAGTCTTTTATACAACCATGTTTCCTCTATCTATTATTGTTAAGGAAATGCCTGCAAACACATTAGATGTCTTTGGAACATTGCTTCTTCTATGACGGCTGCAGGATAAGCACTTTCATTTTCATTACTATGTCCTCCTCCTTTATTCTGTAGCATAAACTTCAAAAACTTGAAGAAAGCTTGTTAGTAAGTATTCTATAACAGTGCTGTTGTATTTTGCGGTTCAACTATATGTAGTAGTTGAGTGTAGTAGGCATGTGTTAATGCTTCCCCTTATCTGCATGACAGTTGAATAGATAGCATGAAACCTTTTCCTTTTTATATGGAACTAATAAAATACCAACAAAAAGGCAAATATATGCATTTGGTAGTGAAGCAGTATAATGCTGCATCAGCATTATTAGTCTTATTTCAAAAGTTAGAACAAAGGAAACAATCCCAAATAAAACACTTTTAATATCCAGTCAGTTTTACATGATGCTAATAGAAGCAGAAGAACAAGCAAACCACAAATTCTGCAGCTTTATATATTAGGAAGCCAACAATTGGATAGTAAGGCAAGTCCACAAATGTATCAAAAAGAACAAAAAAAAAAAAAAAAAGAAAAAAAAAGGAGGAAAGCAAAATAAAACAAAACAAAATATTACCACAAGTAGTCTGATGCATAAAGACAAAGTTTCCAGCAATTTGACATGATGATACATGGGCTGATAGATAGTGAAAACTCAAAGATATTTGTGAGTGTGTTCCTCTGCTGTCAGACTAAAAGGATGAAATTCAGGTGTCTTTTGGGGCTCACTTTAACGTGTATGATACCTGTACTTCTATTTAGTTGCTTTTTTCCACATATTATTTACCTATATTGAATATCAGACAAATTTGACTAGCTACTTAAATGATGTAATTAAATATTTATTGGCTGAACAGTTTATATTTAGAGTTTCAAGCAATTTGTATTGCTATTACTATCAAGGAGGTCCCTGCTGTGAGGCTACTATGACATTTTTTTTTTTTCCATCTGCTTCATGGTAAATTGTCTGGGATAAAATCTTCACCCTACTGACATCTATCTATTAAATATACTTTATTTGGAGTATAGGGCTAAGGTTTTTCTTCTTTTTTCATCTGATAATTCTTTTTGTTTTTTGATGTTCGATATTTAGGAATCCTTATAGCACTGTGTACTTAGCATGAAAAGGTCTTGCTGTGGTTACTTTTGTTGAAGAGAAGAAACTCCTGAATAAGACTGGTTTTTATCTACGACTGTAATTCTTCATTGGTGTTTATCACAAGCAGTCTGAATGCACCATCCTAATAACACAGCTCAGACAATATAATGATTATGTATAATTATGTGTTTTTGTATAAGGTTAGAGGCTGTTGAAACAAAACACTTTTTTAGCAGAGCTATTTGCACCTTTCTTCTGTTAGAATAGTTAAGGATCGTTCCCATCAATCATTAATCAACTTCAGTTTTCAGAGCCTTAAGTACTCCTCCTGCTATCCGTGGCATCACCTAGTATCTTGTTATAAGATGTCTTAGGGCTAATGTCTCAAGCAAGAAAATTTTCAACAGCAAATACAAGCCAAAAAGACTTAAAAGCAATAAAATAAAAGGTTTAATTCTTTGAAGAAAGTTTAAACATAGTCATTCAGGAAAGAATAGAGTAATTAGAAAAAGCGTATATACATATACGTGTATATAAACTTTGTGTTTGTCACTTTGAGTGACACATAAAAGAAATTATACAGACTTTTTCACCTCTTTTTTGCCCTTTTTCTTCCTGTCTTTTCTATTTTCTATTTTTTTTTTTCAAACTAACATTTTAACTAACATTAAATCAATTAATAAGAATGTGAAAGTAATTGTTCTCTCTCTGAGTACCCAAGCACCAATTCATGCTCACAAGACTTGGCTGTCAATCAGCACGACTAACACACTAATGGATATCATGTCTAATCTTCATGCACTACAGCTAGGTCAAGTGCTTGGGCACAAATTGATGGTTAGGCTAGTGCTGGATTTCCAGTCCACAACTGATGTCTTAATTCCTTATTCAGACTGTGTCTGAAAGATAATTACTCTTTCACATGTCAGCTCATTCCAAAGCTGTCCTGAATTCTGAGACAGGAGCAAACAGACAGAGAAAAAGGAGGGGGGCTTGGGAGATGCCATGGCTACTCTGAAAATGCGAAGGTGCTGAGCTGAAATTGGGTATCCACAATGGAAAATATATGAACAGAGAATAATTAAGGATGGCATTTTGGGGTTACAACTGTGGAGTGTCTGTTCTAAAAAAATAAAATTAAATTAAAGCTGAAAGAAACAGCTGCACATTAAGCCCTATTTAATATTGATGCTAACTGAAGTATGGATTTGAGTGAACTTCTTCCTCAAGGTTTTTGCCTTGTATCACTGCCTTATTGTATAATAAAAAGGATTTCTCATTAGACAAGTACAGAGATCACTCACATATACTTCACAGTATTTGAGAAGGATTTTTTCCATTTATAGGCCTCTTTTGGTGATGCCAAAAATTCAGAAGGACTTTGCCAAAAATGAAAGTATAGTCCCTATGAAGGAAAAATCCATAGTGTATAAGTGGGAAAATGAATCTATATAGTTTACTTTTGAAGTATTATGTATAAGTAAAGAATTATGTTAAAAATGCTTTTAAGTCAAAGCTGTTTTCTCAGGCATATTGATTTATTCCACATATATTAGCTTGCTTATTGAGACACTGTTCTATTTCAGTTATTCAATTAGTAATATACATAGGTGGTGAGGAAAGCAGTCCTGGCAGCTTTTCTTATTGGAAATCTGGTATCCAGTTTGCTTACAAGAAATATTTTCTCCAGTAGTTACTTGGTTACTGAGGAGGGTGTATTTAAACCAGATATTGTTTATGAGAGATCTGCCCATCCTCCCTGTAAGAAACGAAACAGAAAATACCTCTTGCCAAACACTATAGTGAAGTTTCCTGATTACTGCAGCAACAGGAGAGGAAATGTTGTTTCCACTTCACTTACTTCCAGGCTTCCTGGAATATTACATTGCCTGGTGCTACTCTCTGATCATGACATAATCCTTAACTATTGTTTTTCTTTCACAAATTAATTCTGTGAGTTGCCTGCAGACAAAGCCAGTAACGCTTGATCACTAAGGTAAAAATACTATCTTCTTCAATTTTGTTTAACTATGGCTAAGATCTTACAGGTCTGTCTGGGTGAAAAAAAAGAAATTAAGGTTTGGTTCATATAGTTTTCTTTCAAGAATATAGGTGTTTTTCAATTAACCTAGAATATTAAGCAATTGAAAGAATAGTGTAGTCTATATTTTATGAATGTATTAATCATAATACGAAGGGAGACTATAAAAGCTTACACAGTTTAGTGTCCTAGAAAATCCAGGAATAGGATTAAGATATACAGACCCATGAGTCCTTTTTTGACATCTAGAAAATGGTTCATTTTCTTTTTTAATCAGTCCTATGTCTAGCAAAAACTTTTTACAGCAATTTTTCTAACTGAAATATAGATATTTCCTGTTGAAATTGTTGCTGTCTGCATAACAGTTTGATTTATCATAAGGTATATTCAAGTGAGAGATACAATGAAAAAATGGTATTTTCTATGGATGTTACAGATAATTTATTGGATTTTTTAAAAGTTTTTATTTGGATTTATTGTTATTGTTGTGTTAGTTGATATTATTTATGGTTTTCCTCATATTCTTCTCATGATAGCAACACGGTTTTAGGTTTGATGTAGATTTTTGACTAGATTAATGACCTTTTTACTAGATTAGTGACCTTTATAATGATGATGAAGAAACACTTAACTATATTTACTTTAGCAGTTGTGTTTAGATTAAGGTTATATTTTTAAAGCTAGCCTCCTGATCGGCTCCACTACCCTTGCTTTGCTTATACATCTGGGAGAGGTGGTGGACAGCACAAATTAGGTACCTTTCAAAGGAAAATACAGCAGAAGTGCTTGAAGGGCAAACCCAGCACACTATGAAAGCTAATGAGAATTCAATTCATAACACCAGCCAGATCCCAAATGTGCATACTGAAATGCACATTTCTCTTACTTTTCAGGTCCAATCCAGGTGAGCTACAATTCCTGGTAATGTGACACGTTTTTTGCTGGCATGTCAAAAGTGTGTGCAGGCTAGTGTTGCCAAGTGAGAGAAGGAAAGACATCAAATATTAGAAGGTGTATGGAAAAAAAAAAAATATATATATATATATATATATATATATATATTACAAATATACATCTATTCCCACACTAGCAGAAGTAACAGTATAAATGATTATTTGAAATTTAGCCTAAACAACATTGGACTAAAGTATTGGAAATCATTATGACAATGCTGTCAGTTTACACTAATGATAGGGCGGGCTGTGGATTTTTTTGTGAAAGGCAAGTAGATTTTGGACGAAAAAAGGCCAAGAAATATTGTCCTCAAAAGCACATCTGGAGAAGTGTCCCATCTTTGCCTGTTTAAGTTGACTGCAGAATCACTGTGATGATTATTAAAAATGACTCTGGCTGAATTTATTGGGAGAGTGAGACAGTATCTGGATGGGAACAAGCCCTGAGTTTGATGGGAATGAGGGTTAACTGCCTGAGGGTCATAGTACATTTTAATAAAGTTGGTACACTGAAGGACAAGAAAAAAAAAACAAAACAAAACTACAATAACAAACAAACAAACAAACAAAACAACAACAACAACAAACACCAGAAGAGGCCACAGAATTTTTATAAGCTCCCATGACTGAGAAAATGAACATGGTGTTGTAGTACAGGTTCAGAACGTGTGTCACCACATGACAACTTGTCTAGTATGTGAGAAAACTTTACTATTCATAATTGGTGAAACAGTGCAAGTTTCCTATAAAAATCAGCTTTGTAGCAAATATTTCTATCCTGGTAATGTTGATAGAAGAATATACCCACTTACAGAAAGAACAGAAGCTTTTCTGTAAGGCCCATAGATAAAGGTTTCTACAGTTCATAGAGGAATTGGAAATGTTTCTTATATGCTGTCTTGTCAGCAGAATCTTGCTGCCTCCTTCCTCCTTGTGCAATAGCAGCATGCTAACAATTAACGATACTTTGATTTAATTAAGTTATTGTAATTAACTAAGGTTGAAGCATTCAGTGTTACTGCATCATCAGATATGTTGTTTTAACAATTTGTTTAACAATGTTTTTGTGGCTTTGGGGGAAACTGCATTCTGATTTGTGTTTAATTTTCCACCTACAGTTAGATACATTTAAAGAATTACTGAAGCTAAGAAACAAATGAAGCAATGTAAGGGTTTTTTGTTATTATTATTATTTTTAAATTTTATTTTACTTCCTTTGATTACATAATTAAATCTTCTAGAACTGGTTCCAGATTTTTAAACATTTTATCAACATTTTATAAACCCAATAAATGGGTATGAGACAACAAGAATTCTCACTGAGATAGAGCACTCTCATGATAGTAGAGGTTGGTAGGCTAGTACCTAACAACTGTCCTATGGCAAATCCACTTATTTTAGGTAATAGATGGCATCCAGCTTCTTTCTGCCCACCTGCTTAATCACTATGTCTCAGCATACTGATATGTAGTGGAGTCTTTATGAGCATTTTCTTAACCACTTCATGGAAAATAATCTGGGTTAAAATAAAGCACCTGTTTAAATTGTGAAGACTAACCTGAATGATTTTGATGGGGAAAATCTGTAAACATGCAAGTGTAGGATGCCAGCTCCAACAGAGATAGCTGGTTGTTCAGCTAGAGAGGAATGACAATAATTGGAACGGACATTATATTTTCCTATAGAAAGTAAAAATTTAAATCTCAGAATGAAATATTTACCATGGGATTTGTCTGGTTTGGTGATATCCAAATAGTTCTTTTATTATTTGTAACATACATGTCTTATATTGTAGCTGCACATTTTATACTGTAGCTCTTATACCGTGAGAATAATTAGGCTAAGGGATCTGTTACTGAATGGAACAGGAGTATATAGCTGTGCTTTAATGAGTATTTTTCTGTACAGGAAATCCAGTACCTTTGGAAATCTATTATAAGTCTTTCTTATGTTCTTTTCCTCAAATGACCTTTTTACAGGTAAATGCATTTGAGATTAACAATGAGGTCAAATAAGTGCTAGGAGCAAAAATCCATCGGTTGTGATTCTGCCACTACTTGCAATTTGCTATGTCAAATTCAGTGAGTTATTCATCTGTGCTTGAAATAACCCATCCTTAGCACAGAGATAAGAAAACATACAACATCTAAATAATGGAAATATTCTGATATGTAATTAATTGTTTGTGCAGTTCTTTCAAGAGAAAAATTGCTTTTGTATTTGTGCTCCAAGAGCCTATCCTGACCTAGAATTATGCAGACACACTTGGAAGATTACTTTCAAGGTACATCAAATTATAATTAAAATAAGATGTTCCTATTCCAAAAAAAAATAAGGTTGTGGCTATTTTTAGATATAGACAAGTTACAATCAATAATATTCATTGTTTCTCTTATTTCAAAATGAATTGTGATTAGCTATTTATATTCAGAAATATTTATGAATTAAAAGACGAAAAAAAAAGTCCTTGACAGTGATATGATCAAATTATATTCTAAATGACTTCATTAACCTCTCTGGAATTATAAACACAATGTATAAACATCAGAAAGAAGTTTCTTTTTTTTCTTTTTTCTTTTTTTTTTCTTTTTTTTTCTTTTTTCTTTTCTTCTTTTTCTTTTCAAAAAAACATTACTGAACAGTGACTGAAGAGTCTTCTGTATAGTTGAATACGCTGTGCTATGATTACTAAATATTTCAAGCATAACCAGTTAATCTGTCATTACATTTATCTTTCAAAATCCTTTCCTGAGAAAGAGGTGTCAACAGGTTTATTAGAACATTATCCTCATTTAATAATTCAAAAAGTCAGTAGTTATGTATGTTTCAGATTTCCTTCCTCTCTCTGCATTTTAGTATACTTACAAATTTGTGTGAGGAAACCTGTGGCTTTTATCTCCCAAGATCAGGTGTGGAATGAGAAGTTTTTAGTTCTTCCTGGTAACCTGCCAGGTATTTAGGAAAACAGAAACTATGAGCAGCTCTTCTACAGTCTGGTAGCAGTAGAAGTTGATGACATTCTAGTCACTGGTACCTCAATATTGTGAAGAATGGTAATATTTAGAGGACTTATATTCTGTGATACATACAAATGAAAATTATGTGTGTTTATTATTTCTGGAACACATTTCCAGCTTTTGTTTTGTTGATACTTTCATCCAGCTTTAAATTGCAATCTATATTAATTACTTCTAATGGAGTTTCACTTCACACCATGAAAAACTGGATTCTCAATATGTAACTAGAATTAAAATAAGATATATATTTTTGCAATAAGTGGAAAATAACATTTCCATAAACAGTTAGATTGAAGCAGGGATACATCATTTAAATTCAAATTCATTATTTTGTTTACAAATTATAAACCTGCCATTAGAAGTCTTCCTTTCTGTGCTTTTTGTTGAAAAATTAAAACATATTTTTCTCTGAAGACTACAGATCCTTGTCCTGCAGGTTCTTATTTAGCCTGAACATCTTTAAGTTTTGAGACTGGGGCTATGTGTGCTTTGCAGACTGTCTTGAGAATAAACTAACTTTTAGGGTTAAGCACAAACATACTCTTTTCCAAAAGTTTCAGAGGAGGTCACATTTGTCCTTGGAAGCCTCTGATTGAACTGGGTATATTGTAAAGAATATTCCTGGAATCTAATGGGCATTGGTCTTCAGGAAAAGGAATCTCTCCGGCATCACCATTCTAAGAAAAAATAAAGTGTATAAGGTGATAGCAGGTATCAATATAATTATACACCATTTCTTTAGCTCAGTACATAGCTGTCTTTCATAACTTCTATTGTAGCACGCTTTTATGTTTATATATACACATACATATATATAGTTTATCTTTGCCATGCATATAAATAACATGTATGAAAACACCTGACATTCTGTGTAGTGAAGGGAAATATTACATAAACATATTAGCCAGTCATAGTGCTGAGTGCTGTAATTCACTAAGCAATGCAAGTAAAACACTTTTCACAGAGCTCATATTTCATATACTTTAGTAATTCATTTAGAAACCCAAGCTGTATCCATTCAAAACTTCAAAATGTTTCAGAAAGCTCTTATACAAAATGCTCTGTACTCTTAGGAACATTGATCTCTGGTCCTAATCTTAAACTTCAGTTCCTTCTGTTTCTGGTTATTGTCCATGAGAACGGTACTATACCGGAAGGAGATAATCTCTGAATTATTGTCAGTACACTCCGTCTTGTGAAACTGATTGTAATGTCTTGGGCTGTATGATATTAACTATGAATGGTTGCCTTTTGCTACATCCATCACTGATTTATGTTAATCTAATTCATTTTTTTGCACAGCAGAGTATTTTAAGATATTCCCTTATGATGAGATAGAATATATAAAGTATACTCTACCATTGTTGGTCTCCTGAAAGCCTTTTCAGTGATAAATTGAACATTATATCATATCTCAGTAGAGCTAATCTCAGCTTTGCAATCACCAGTGCTTCAGTTTATCATTTGTCTATTTTGTACTATAGTGATTTAGGTCCTAGGACATTCTTCCATTCTTCGTTAAGAGTGTACAGAGCATGATTCAACTGAAGAGTCTCCTACATGCTTATTTTGAGACCTTATAATTTCAAACTGGCAAGTTCTCTAGGTTTGCTGCATGTTTTCTAACCCTGCTCCCTCCAATTTATACTCCATTTAGAATACAACTATTTAATGGAAAATAAATAATAATAATAAAAAAGTAAAGGGACTTTTAATAACTATTTGCTAGCTATAAGATTAAATTTAATTGAAATGTGTTATTCTTCTAGGACAACAATCTGAAACAGTTTGGAAATGGTGAGTAATGCATTCTTTTTTCCTGACTGATTTGAATCCTGGGCTTTGAAGTGCAAATCTGATTTTATAGTTGTGGTAGAGGCAAAATCATGCGGTTTAAAGTTGTTCATTTTATTTTTGGAACACTTTTATGATGACCCAGCATAATGATTGTATTTGGATTTAGTACAACAGTGTGAATCAAGCTGGGCTCTTGGGCAAGTAATGAAATGTGTTCCCTCTTCAACAGTGCTTGATGTTCATTTCTGCCATCCTTGTAGTTTGGCAGCTGTCTCTGGACTAAAAGTCCTTAGGCAGTGGTTATATGGAGAATGAGTTTATTGCTGTAGGCTTGTGAAAAATAGAGGGAAAGGTATAAGGTACATTTGAGGGTGATTGTCCCTCTAAAAGATTTTCCTTAATGTTTAGGAGAAGGAAACTTGTCTATTATTATATGGCTAGAAGGACAGTTCTCCCTTCATCTCTGGGATGAATGGATTGGTCACATCAGCACTGGTTTGCAAGGAATGAGTGGCACAAGAGCACAAATGTAAGAAAAAAACATAAAATTATTCTCAGAAAATATTTTCAGGTTTATTAGTACATATATCAGACCAGGTTTACATTAGCGTATTCTTGAATCATGTGTCATTTTTGCCTGTCTGAACCGTGAACGAGGTTCAAGGTTCATTGGTGCTGCCAGTTAATCCTTACGGTTCTTCTTAAAGCAGCAACCAGAATCCACAGTCATCATCAAATTAAACATGGACATTCACTTCATCAGAGGGTTTGTATTTCCTTTTGATATCAAGACAACAATGATCACTGGCCTATGATGCCTATACAGACTCTGGCAGAGGCTGTAAAGGTCAGTGGAATACAGTGACTGGAACAAAAAAGAATATGTAACAGAAAGCATTTGTAGCTTTACTCTAAGGATGAGCAGATAGTAAAATATTGTCATTTTCTTCCTTGTTACCATTGTTATGTGGAAAATGTAGGACTCATTCTCTCCTGCTTAAATATACAGCTAGGTTCAATTGAGCAACAAAGTGCTCAGTATGAAATTGTCCAATTTCAGTCATTGCAAATGGAGGATTCTGCTGTCCATATGCATTGTAAAGAGGACTGTCCTTTAGGATATGTGAGCAGGAACCAGTAGCTGTAGCAGTTTTGTTTGTTATCAGTTGCTGCTGGGTAGCAGTCAAAAGAGACTAGCATGCCAAAATGGATGTATTCTGCACTAATCTTGATTTTTTCACACTTTGGGCATTTCAGAACACTTCTTCAAATGCCATGAAAATTGGATTTTGCTGTTGCACTAAAGTGAACTCAGTAGTGCAGCTGCTGAGGGAGAAAATATATACTTTATATTTGCTCTGAAGTTAATGATAACTGATATTTCCAAACGACTGTCTGTCAGCATTGAAAAAGCAGAATGACATATGTACCAGTCTCCTTACCTTCTGGTTATTGTATCTGCAGTTAGGAACTTCTCTACACTAGATGTTGTCCCCTGGGAAAATTGGACCTGAAAAGTTTCTCATTCCACATCAGGAAATCAACAAATTTTTTCACTGTACCTTCTCCTCCTCTCTCACCCTCAAAAAATGACAACAAAACAAAGCAACACCACCAACAACACCAGAAACAAAAAACAGTAAAACAAAACCAAACCAAACCAAAACAAAAAACAGATGAAGCTCAGAAAGAAGAAAGAGAAAGCTCCTTTCCTATGTTTTTGCTGGGCTACTTCTTTTCTCACCCTCCAGTTAAGTTGTAAAGTAGAAAACAGTGGGTTAACGAAAATTAGTTTAGGAGTTCCTACCCATGAAATTCATCATAATATGGCTTAGATCTATTTTTGTATATATATCATAGTGATGCTGCCTGCTCAGTTGATGTGGTGGTACAATTATTCTCTTCTGTTTGTCTGTGCCAAGAGCTTGTTGCAGAAAGTAGGCCACCCAAAGTACTCTTTAGGATGATGCCATCCTCTGCCTCTTTGTACCAGTTCTGCTCATGGGAAGATAACTACAGGGCCTGTTTCAGAAATATCTGTCCCCTTTCAAATCACAGCTGTACCTGTCATCATTTTGACAGAAAAGGTGAAATATTTATCAAATGGAAACACACAATTGGTGTTGGTTACAAGATAAGAATACCATTGAAAATATGCTTATGAATGTTATATTATACTAGTAAACCTTCACAAACCTTCACATTACACAACTTACAAGTATCCTTTCTAAGGGAATATACCTTACTTTATTAGATTCCTCACACTGCTCCAAATATGCTCTTTTTTTTTTTTTTTTTTTTAATTTTTTATTTTTCCCTCTCTCCCTGGTTTTCCTGTGGAGGCACATCTGAGTATTTAATATTCATATTATTTAAAAATCTTCTCTTCCCAGGTTTCTTTACTTTTCTGATGGAATTTTTGAGTTCTAAGGCTGTCTACACAGTTATTGTTGAATATATATGACTAGGCCTCAGATGCTTAGCAAATTCCCTTAGAAATTGGTCCAGGTACATTTGTGTGTAATTACAATCCTGTGTTCCAGTTATGAAATAAGCTGACATAATAAAATGAATGAGTGAAGGTCCATCACATTTTACTAGAATGTTAAACACATTAATAACGATAATTTATAGTACAGCATAACTAATGCTTAGCATAGATTGCCATCTAAAGCCTTTACAAAGTAGCATGGTAACCACCATTAACAACCAGTATGCTTCAGCCTGTACTTGATGTTTAGAGGTGGTAAACCTGCAATTTTGCATCAACATCAGTATTTGTTTTTGTCTATGTTCCTGTTACTTGAAACTTTGCCTTGCACATTTTTCTGTTCTTTGACTTGCAAATGGGTAGGTTAAAAAAAACCAACACCTATTCAGTTTCTTATAATTATTCAGATTGAAATATCATGAAGGCATTAAATTCTGACACTTGTTTAGTTAACTATGTGAACAATGAAAATGCAGTGCTTAATGTAGAAAATAAATGATTTTTTTTTTTTCCTTCAGTTTTTGTACCAGGCCATTGCATCTTACTGTAAAACAGACAAACTATAAAAGCTATTGGATCATATAATTATAGTTTAAATAAAATAGGGGAAAAAAGCTGAACGTATTTAAATACCCTTTTTCAGATGAATAGCTCAGCAATGTACACTATGTAGGCAGTAGCTGTGCTGAATGCAGAAAATTCTGAGTTCTGTGTAGTGCTAAAACAAACGATTCAAGTAACAATGGAGGTGAAAGCTCTTTCAGAAGTACATTACATAATCCAATAAATCCAGATATAACACTCTTAACTATGAGTCCATCTTAATTTCAATTAAATCCTAAATTCTGTTGCACAGAATTTAGAGATGTATGTCCAGAGATGTATTTAGTATCTGATTCTAACATATCTGACTAGTGAAGCTGGACGTGAATTCTTAACAAATTATTTCATTTCTTTTTCTTTTTAATTAGAAAAAAAACACCAAGCAGTCAAGAGGCTTCATTCATCCTGCATTTTAGAAAGCTTGGTGAAAAGACTGGAAAAGCAGGGATGCTATAGAATCATAGAATCATAGAATATCCTGAGTTGGAAGGGACCCTTAAGGATCATCAAGTCCAACTCTTGACACCGCACAGGTCTACCCAAAAGTTCAGACCATGTGACTAAGTGCACAGTCCAATCTCTTCTTAAATTCAGACAGGCTCGGTGCAGTGACCACTTCCCTGGGGAGCCTGTTCCAGTGTGCAATATATATTTACTATACTGTTAGAAAGCATTAACAGAAGTATTTGTAGTTGAGTTAGAATTGGCTATAACCTTGGAAATCTTTCAGGAGCCCAGTGGATTCTTCCTTCAGCTTCTACTGCAGCTGATAAATTTGAGTAAAAAGATTCTACCTGATTCTGCAAAAACAGGATCATGTCACTACTGCAATCCTGTAGATAACACTAGTCTCTTGAATTAATCATTTTAAGACCAGGATGTGCTAGATATTATTCCAATAATGTAACTTCAATAATGTAACTCAAACAATAAATTTTATTTATTGCTTGGTACTGGTTATTATCCAGAATGCTGGGGGGATGTGCAGGGAGCAACTTGCTAAATGCATATTTGTGCTGCAGGAAAGGGTAAACAGGTTGGGAGTGGTACATGTAACTCAAAGAAGAAACAAATCAATAATTTAAGATAAGGAAGTTTAAGTTATCAGGAATGGTGAGTAAATTATATAGTACATAACCATTTAGTAGTCAAACCTGACAGAAATAACAGAAAAGCTGGCAGCTGTCTTAAGAAACCTGTTTCTAATGACCACTTTGCAGTCACATAGACTGTGTAAAATAATAGCTATATTTGCATTAACCTTTAGTTGCTGGAACCATGTTGCAGTAAATATTTTTCCATAACCAGGTAGTTTATATTTTAGAGCTTTTAAGAGTCTTATACTACAGAACACAAAGTAGTGTTAAACAAAGGAAAAGTTTATGTATCAACTTGTGTATGTTATGTTCTTAATGGAGAATAAACTTTCTGATTTGAATGCTGTTTATTCAGTAAAATGTTTGATTTTTCTTTGAGCCTTGAAAATATTTTAGAGCACAAACTGAAAAAAAATATGTATTCAAAGTATTATCCATTTCCAGTTTTACTCTACTCTTTCCATTATTCACATCAAATATATTAAATTTTATCGTCAAGGACCTGTTTAATTATACACTCAGAAAGAACTTTGGAAACTGTAATTCCCTCTGTACTGTAGTTCTCCCTATATATGTGGCAAGTTAATTTCCATAGTACATTCTTTTTCCTGAAAGCCAACTTTTTTTTTTTTTTTTTTTTTTGAGAGAGATAGTTATATAAACAGAGAAAATATTAAGAAAGCAGTTGAACTTTGAGAGGAAACCTAGTTAAGGCTTAGTTTTTGCCTAACTGTGGTACTCTTGACAGTTAGATGAAACAGTGAATGAGGCTTCTCAAAAATATCTGTGACTGAGGCTAAATCCTGATT